CCCTGGACTGAAAGAACCATATAGAGAGAGGGCCACTGTCAATTATATTTTGTTTATAGATAATTTGGACTCATTGTAGAAAAATGGCATATAAAAGAGTGATTTTAGTGTTTTTGTTTTAAACTCTCTAAATCCTAAATGTTTTCCTTTTGGCTGATCAGAAAATATAATAATAAAATTCTTTCTTTTGAGAAAGATTTGAGGACTTTCTACAAGAAATACATCTATTGTGCAATGCATTCATAATCAGAAGGGCTTTTGAAGAATACAACTGGTAACTGCATTCTATGTTTTTTTTTTACTATGCTTGTGTGCAGGTACATATGAATCTTTACAATCATTCTGAATTAGAAGAATAAAAAAAACTTCATGTCAGTAAGAGCTATTTTATAAGAGGTGGCAGCATAACATTTTCCGTAGCTGGATACAACAGTTGGCAATTACAGAGTAACACCACTTGTCTTTGCTCACACCTTTCTTTTTTACTTTCTTGTTTTGAGGGGAAAGCTGTTTTCCTCTTTAATCTTGAACATGAAGAAAATCAATTTACTATCTAAGCAAAGTTAGGTGCTTATAAGGCAATCCATTTGTGCAAACCTTTGCTGGAAAGGTGAGAGGAATACATATGTGGCTGGGATATCATTTCCTTCATTGCTCTGGGTATGTACAAGAGACAGAAAAAGAAACACAACCCTAGCAGAAAAGCATTCTGCACAAGGTGCAAATGGAGAAGAAAGGAAGAAACGGTGGAGAGAAGTCAGAAAGCTGGGGTAGCACACAAGAAAGGATTGGGTGGCACAGAAAAGAGAGGTTCAGTAGTGTGCATTGTTCTAAACACACACCTAATTTTCTATTCTGGGGTACCACCTTGGCATGACCACTAATTTGCTGCTTCTAATCAGGAGTGCCAGGAGGGCTTGTAAAGCAGGTTGGCTAATGCAGCTCTTCTAATCATAGTATGCTTCATCATTAGAAGAATTCAGGATAACCAGGGTTCTTGCTTGCTAACATACATTCTACATTTGTTAGGAAAATATCAGAAGCTGTTTGGCATGGTGTTTAGAGAGACAGACATCACAGAGGAAAGTAGCATTTGGAGCTGTACCACTCTGCAGTATTTCTTAAGAAAAATATATACTTAATATTCCTGTTCATAATTTCCTCAGTGACCTGCTGAATAGTAAAAACCTGGTTAGTATGCTTACTCATGCAGTGAACTTCATAAATCTTTCTCATTATCACCTCTTACATTGTTTCAGACAGAATTCTCCCTAATATGTTCTCAAAAACACTAAACAAATTCCCCCTGTAGTTTTTACAGTCATTCTTGCTACCTTTCCCTGTGATAAGGCAACAGTAAGGGTATTCTTTTAATTATTAGGCACAGATCCATTCCTCACACAAATTACATATCTACCCTACAACCAAACCACATTAGTAGCTGAACATTTCTTCAATTACACCATCTATAACTATGGTCTCATCATCTTCTGTATTCTCAGAACAATTCTATCCATTTTTGTCTTGGTCACTAGTATTTATAGCATCAGGAGCGCAAGTTGTTCTGCAGCATGTATTGTTATCTCCTACTTTCTGGAATATACTGGCAACAATATGCTGGCTGGCAAGTAGTCTCTACATAACAAATCCTAGCTTGAATAGTATATAATAACATGAACTTTTTGGGGTAAAACTGAACATTGATTGTGTTTGTGGCATATTGTCAAAAATGTTCCCAAACTACCAGTTTAGTAGGAAAAGCTGTGTATATGACTAAGACTGGTAACTATGTTTATTCCTTCTCTGTATTACTGTGTATCTCCATGCTGTACTGAAAATTTCCAGAATATTTTCTTTTTATAAAAAAGATTCTTAGACTGCTTATAATTTCATTGAAAAGTACCAGTAAAGTAATGGAAGAATTTTATATTGTGGGTTTTGAGCTCATGTTTTACTGCAAGGTTATAAAGGATATTGGAGTGTTATGTCATTATACTTCTTGCTACAACTCTTCAGCATCCTCTAGCCTCTCTGCTTATTCATCTTCATGATCTACAAAATCCCCAATGGAGGAATTCTCTCCTACATCTGGATTTAATTGGAATATGTGAGAATCCAGGGAGGTTTCACAATATTGACAGGATGGCTCTCTGAAAGATGAAAGGCAAGACCAATCACAACTCCCTACAGTTTGTTACCTGCCCGGTAAGATCATGCAAAAGCCCTATGCACAATCTTATGGAAATTCTACTGTTTTTATTTCAGCTTTGGAATTTTTGTTTTCAATAAAATTAATGTAAATTATTTTTACTGTAGAAAAAAATCAGGAAACTTCCATCCATTGCATTTTCTCTTTTGTATATGATTCACAGTATGCCATTAAACTATTAAAGGTGAAGATAAAGATACAAATAGTAACAGGTCTTGGAAGGTTTGAGAGCTGTTTGTTGAACAGAAGTAAGTTATCTGAAGACCTCAGCCTGGAAAACTCTTAACATTCATCATTAATTGTAATTTTCCTAGTCCAATCAACTCAAGGACCCTGATTCTCAAGGAAGGGTGTATAAAATTACAATCTCAGAAATTAATTATAGTCACATGATTCAGACATATATCACACCACAAGAATGGACTTTTGACCCTTAGTAAATAGCGTTAAGATCACAACTTTCAGAGTGCAATGAACAGCAGAGTTCTGGATCAAGGAAATGTTGAAATCCTTTGGAACATGCACAGACAACATTTTTAGAAATAGGAACAGACATTTTTTATTATAATGTTTTCATAGCAGGAAAGATACAGAGAACTGGATATAACTATAGTCATAACCATAACTGTAATGCATTCTAATTTTTGCTTAGCTCCAGTAAGAATTCAGATGGAAGTCATATATCAGATATTTGTTGAACATTTTGGCAATGTCACTAGGGCAGGGGGCAGGCTTCATGGGTTGCAAAAAAGGGAGTTGCCTACCTCACATGGGCTGAACATTCATTCTTGTTTGTTTGATTGATTCTTACTCTCCTTTTCTCTCCCTGGTCCCCAGGTTGCTGGGTGAGGGATAAGTAACTCTTGCCATGAATCTATAGACTCCCCTAGGCTCCTCCCATTCACTCCCATCTACTCCCCTCCTTTTGGACTTCCTCCACCTCCAATATAATTTGAAGAAGATTGCAAGTTGTCCTTCTGATCCCTTGATTTTCATCTTGGCTTTTCTCCTAGCATTTTGGGTGCAGTTAAATGAAGTCTTCTTTTGGTTGCTTGTTCAGTCCACCCTTTTATAGAATGGATTGTTTTCTAATGATGTACTGTATGCTAAGTGTTTTCTTTTTCTTGAATTGCTTATTTTTAACTGATAAAATAAAATAATAAATAAAATAAAATATTGTTCTTTTAAGGGCCATATTAACCATTATACCTCATTTGCTGTAAGTTGTTCAGAGTTATTTGACAGATGGGTAGCATATAAATTGAATCAATTAAAAAATAAATAAATATTCAATAAAACATGGCTGAGAAGTGAATGCTTTGAAACTAGTGTCAAGGAAGACTCTGTTATCCAAAGCCTCAGAACAGAGACTTAGCATTTCAAGATCCAGAACAACAACAGCCAATGAATAAATAGGAAAGAGATACTCCATTTAGCAGCTGAAACTGAAATTCAATTCTACACTTAGTAACTTGGCACAGCCTAGGGGTTGCCCTCTAGAGTATTTTCAAATAATTTTGCTTTGGCTCCATTCTTCCATGTGCCAAGATGTTCATATTAATAGGTCTTTGGAACTCTACTTTTTTGCAGATTTTTGTGAATTTGCAGATGTTACCCAAGAGAGAGAAAAATATCATACAAGAAATTCAAGCAGACAAGGTTAATTCTTTTTTTTTCTCCAGTTTAATCCTTCCAACGTATCTGTACGGTAAGGTTAGGCTGCGAGTAAGAATAACAGATTCAGAGTCACCCAGTGAAAAGGAATTTGTAAGTGGATTTTCCCAGCATTACTCTGATACTAACAGTGCTTTTTTTCTAAAAAAAAAAAAAAAGTGCCGGAACTCACACACATCATACAACCCGCCTTGCCTACCCTACAAGGTTCCATCCAAAAAAGGTGCCGGAACTCCGTTCTGGGCATTCTATGAGAAAAAAAGCCCTGGATACTAACCAGTATAACACATTGGATCAGTATTTTCCAATACTCCCATATTCAGGGAGTATTACTGGAACATACTGTGTTATATTTAATATCTCTCATACTAAAAACAATGAACCATTACAGATAAATGGGCTTAACATATTCATCAAGCTTGTATATTTAAGACATGTTTCTGACATCAGAAAGCTAATATGAGTTTGGGTTTCCTGGGGAAGGTGGAAGGATTGGCTCATATTTATGATGTTGCAATGTCATGGTTGTCATTTGCAACCTTCTGACAAGCAAAATCAATGGGGGAGCCAGATTCACTTAACAACCGTGTGACTAACTTAAAAACTGCAGTGGTTCACTTAACAGCTATGGCAAGAAAGGTCATAAAATGGGGCAAAAATCATTTAACCAATGTCCCACTTAGCATCAGAGATCTGGGGCTCAATTGTGGTTGTAAGTCGAGGACTGGCTGTATTAAACAGCACCAAATGATAAATTATTGGTAGCTGGGGTGAATCACCTCAGCTTCCTAACCTTTGAGAAAAATAGTCATGATGGTGGGTGATACTAGACTTTTCTATCTGACACCAAAGTTCTTGCCTGAAGACAATTTGGGAATGACCATAGTTCAGTAGCAGTAGAAGTTCCCTTTACAATCATACCATCATCATTATCATCACCATCATCATCACATAAAAGAATCATATGAATTGTGTTGATTGTTCTGCCTGAAATCCTACAGAGTGGTCTTCATAAGGAGAGAAAAAAGTGGACTAGTTGGGCAAAGGCTTCCTAATCTCCCATGCATCTACACACCTAATGTGCATCCTGACCTAAAAAATAAGCAAAAACAAGAACCTGTTTCCTGGAGCTCAAAGCACCCTTGTTTCCCCGGCTCATGGAGCTGGAGGTAGTGATGGAGTTGCTGCGTTTGCTCAGCCGGCTTGCATGCTGCGGTGTTGCAGGCAGTGGATTCATGAAGAGGATGCGGGCAATGAGACCATACAGAACAGTGGCCAAGCCCAGGGGGATGACATAGAATATGGTGAAGTCTAAGAAGTAGATGGGCATATAGAGGTTCCTGGAGACACGGTAGCCACAGCTGACTTGAGTGCCATCAGCAAACATGGCTTTCGAGGTGTCCACTAAAAAGAACCACATGAGACAATAGAGCGAAGTGCAGAGCCATAGGACAGCGATTATGCGTTTGGCCCGGGCTACGGTGCAAAGCAGCTGTGCCTTAATGGAGTGGCAGATGGCAATGTAGCGCTCCACTGTGAAGGCTGTGATGGAGCATGCTGAGATGTTGATGCCCAAATACTGCAGGTAAGTAATGCAGAGGCAACCCGCATAGCCATACACCCAGGAGGCCACCACCTCAGAGATGTTGGGTAGCCCTGCTGCCAGTAGCACAATCAAGTCGGCTATAGCCAAGCTCACCAGGTAGCAGTTGGTGGGAGTTACCATGTGCTTGGTGCGAAGGACCACCAGGACTACCATAATGTTGCCTGCAATGCCTATGCCACAGATCAGAAGAACCAGCAAGATAGTGACCACCTGCACCTCCAGGGGCAACTGTGGCATCTTGTTGAGGAGAGTCTGATTGGTGCTGATATTGCCCATGAGGGCTGCAAAGAAGTCCCAAGATTGATTCTCCATTTGTGACTCTCAAGTGGATTGTTCTTCCTTGATACTGATGATTTCCAGGCCAAGAACTATTTCAACAGGTATCCTAAACCACAGGAAGAAAGAGAGAATTCAGATTATTAGATTAAAGCCCACATAATCTGATTTTTAAGAATGTCGTTGTTGAGCAGGGAGTCTGGATTCAAACCTTTGGCAAGCTATTATTTAACAGTCCTATTACTATGTGGGGATAACAGCTACCTATCTTTCAGGATCGCCGAATATATTATTAGATGATTTATATAAATCTCTTTGAGTCTATTTACATAAGTAATTTAATCTGGATACGGAATTAACCTTTTTTAAATTTGAACAATATATTGAACTATAAACTAATTAAATGATGTGAATGCATATGACACAATAAGATGTGGGCCCTTTCTTCACTTCTAATTTACATTAGCTCCAGGACAATTTGGCAACACCAGTGTTGATCATGCAATGCTGCCCTTATCTTATCCCACCTTCCATCAGGCTTCTGCTGTTTCTTATCACATTCTGCATTAAGATTTCCTTGTTTGAATTGACAACTATAGGCACAGCTATGGGCAAAAAACCCCCTAGCATTTCACAATACCTCTTCAGATATTGTGGAGTATGATTTTGTTTTTGGCATGTAGAAAGATATGGTTATACCTCCTCATTTACATAATTTTATGGTAAGATATGCTAGTAGGACATATCAACTATACCCCAAATAGAGGTTGACCGATTGCTGACCTAAAAATTTTGACATGTAATCCATAAGTCTATTGAAACATAGATAGTTACAATTTAATGCCCCAGCATAGTGTGGATGGCACATTCAACCACAAGGGTTGGGTATTTATAATTCTCATCTCCAAAGCTCTAGAGGCAAGGACCTTTGCAGACACTGCAACTAGAGATTAGGCTTGTCCAAGAGTTGGAATTGAGATATCACCTTAATATTTGTTACAGGATAAATGTAGCTTACCCATACACAAAATGACACAGTCCATATGAAAGTGGGTTATACCCTGAATTATCTCTTAATTTCTACTGGTCACCAGGACTGTTCAAAACACCAAGAACTTATTTTATTCAACGGTAGCTTGAATGAATCACCCCACTGTAGCAGGTATACTAAGCATCATGGTTCTTCTTTGTCTTAGATCAGAGCAATTGCACCAATTAAGCAATTACAATTTCTCTGGCCCTTCAGTGGTCTCCTGTACCTGCATAACAAACAGGTGGTTGAGGCAGTTCCTTGGTGTGGTGAAAAAATGCAGTCTCTGACACTTCATATTAACCACTGGAATAACCAGTGTTGCCTTCAAGCCTGGATTATGCCTGCTTTGTATAAGCCATTGGGCTACAGCTGTCTCTTCCAATGCAGTGTTCTCTAAATTGGTTGAGACTAGTCTAATACCTTGAAATTTCACCCAATAGGGTGATAGTGGCTGGGGAATTATAGGAACTGAGGTCTAATCGCCCTGGGACACAACAGCAGCCCCAGACTGTCCCAAACTATCATTGCAATGGAGCCCCCTCCTTCTGAGCCAGCCTTTGTTCTTCTGCAGGCAGCATTGCTGAGCAGATTTAAAACTACTTGTCACTCCTTCAAGGGGTGAATTTGGCAAAGCCCTAAAGCGGCAGCCTCGTTCTGGAGATTTTTGGTCTCTTTGCATCAGATGCCGGGGCGAAAATGCTGCCGAAAGCCTTCCTTGATACAGCCGGTAGCAGGACAATGCGGAGAAGCGTAACACCGGCTTAGCAGGCAGGAGGACAACCTCCGACCTACACCTGCTGGAGTGGGCACCAGCCAGAACAGGTGCGCTGGGCTTGGCGAGACAACGGACTGACCTCGCCGGACCCTTCAAAGCTCAGGGCACCGGCTGCTCCTCAGTTGCGGCAGGTCTGGAATCAAAGCCGAGGGTCGCAGTCGCGGGCCCACCTTGACACCCTCCCTACCTCTGCTTTTTTGATCGCTACAGAAATCCACTTGCGAAGGCGGCGACTTGTGGCCGGCTGGGGAAGCCAACCCGGTGGGATTAGAGGTAAGGAAGGGAAGGCGGGAGAAGGACGGAGCCTCGGAAAAGGAGGCAGAGGGTTAACTAACGGAAGGGGCTAAAACGGGACGGGGAGGAGAAGCGGGGAAAGAAGCGAGAAAGTTTACCATCGCCAAGCCGAGCGGAACGGGGAAGCGCTGATCCGCAGGCGCCGAGCCGGCTCCTTCTCCACTCCAGCCTCGTGGCCCGCCTGCCAGCTGCCTTTCCCTCTCTTCAGGTATTTATTTCAGGGAGCCGACTACGCTGCAGTCTATCCCGCCTCCGCTTGCCGTCCACGGGTAGGTAAGCGGCAACAGAGGGGTCCTAGCGCTCCCCACCGCCTGGCGAAAGGGAAGGGGGCTCCGGAAGGGGGAGGGAGCAGCGATGACGCGAGCCGAAGATTCCCGGGACTCCCTGGGCTGCCTCCCCCCACACACACACACCCGCTCCCTCGCCAGGACTTTGTGCTCGAGTCCACGCCTCCTGGGAGGGAGTGTGATCCTATGCCCTAAATTTACGCTCCAGCCAAATTAGCTTGTAAAATGCTGCCTAAGTTCGTGGTGGTTTTTAATTAATTCGCCTTAAAGAAGTCAGAGGTCTCCTCCTACGGTAATAAATCTGTTAAGCCTTCAAGATGCGATAAGACTCTGGCAAGATGACAGCTGGATGACTCTAGAACGCAAGTGGCCTTTGGAACAAAATCGTTTAATGTTTACAAGGTATTCTGATTAATCGATTAATCTGATTAGCTTCAGGCCAAGACTCTAACAACCACCTACCAAGCAGACAGACAAAATTGGGGGGGGGACAGCTCCCCTCCCTTCCCACTTGTGGCTTCTTGCTGGCAAAAGCATCACCTGTTGAATCTATGCCTATCTCCCAGCACACAAAGATGTAGCTGTCCTAATGGCAAGAATGAAGATGGTCAGTTTCAGGCTGCATATGGAACCATGTAGCACGGTGGACTAGCTGTGATGGATACTGTGATCCGATGGGAAACCAACTCCAGCATTATCACTTCCACTGCTGAGAGGAGAAATGTGATAATTATTTCACTGTTAAATGATTGTGCTGCTTCTTTGTATTTTTAAGTTGTTTTGGTACTATAGAGTGTTTGGAATGTCTTTATGAGAGAAAAAAAATAAATTAATGTATTGTTAAATGGGTGTCAGGGGGACTACCATCCTGCCTTGAAGGAAAGCACTTAAGGGCACCCTGGGAGTGATGGGAGCCTCCTGTTAGCATCATTGAAATCAAAGAGAGAATGAACCTAAGAGTAACCCACAAAGGAGATGCAAATAAGTCTGGCTCTTCAGACATGAGAGAAGTCAGGCCACCTAGTAGAAGAAATCAAAATCCAGAATCAAATCCAGAAAAAAGCAATGGAAACTCACTTTGGTACTGTTGTGAAGAAAAATCTATTGATGTGTCTGAAACATTTAGGCAGGTTTGGGTAGCAAATGATGAGCTAGCCCATCCCCTAGTCAGAAGGCATTCCTCTTGTTCTTGGAGAAGAACTCTGAACTAGACAATCTATCTGTTTATTGATACAGCCAGTCACTTGTAACTGGAACAGAAATATGACATGCGTGAACCAAGGAAGCTTGAAAATGTGAAAAAATAAATGAAGCATTCTGCATTGGATGTTTCAGGAAAAAGTTAACTTAGGTGGCCCAGAACGGGCCACTAAATCAGATTGTTACTTAAGATTTTCTTTGGTGTATAATGACACCATATAAAGGAATGGAATGGCAATGATATTCAGACATAAGAAGATATATGTTCAGTAATAATGCCCAAATTAGTTCCACTCTATTAGAATTAACAAGAACTGAAAGAAGCCATACAAGTTCAGAAAATATGGTGAGAGCTGGTCAATAAAATTGCTAAAAATCAGACACAATTGAATGGATATTCAATTTAATTGACTGTCACTAGATTTGATGGATATCCAGTTCTTTAAGAAATATCTGTGCAACTCCGGCAGATGCAATAAGGGATGATATTGAATTATTCTGTGGCAAATTAATGCTGCAGTGCTAAATGATGCATTGAGAATGGAGGCATAACTATTAATAGATAATTGGGATGGAAAAATTGGAGAAATTGAGGGACCTGCAATTTCAATAAGATTTGAATTGGATGAATGCAACAAAGTAAGTGGAAAGTAGGTTAACAGAGTGTTGCAAACAGAATTCTTTGATAATTGTCAACAACAATTTCAGGCAATATAAATGCAAACTCCATACATGAATCTCACTGGGTGGAAAAAAATCAGAATTCAGTTGCATATATAAAACAGGAGATGGAGAATGCAGTCCAAGATAATTTCAGATACAGATTCCATGCAAAACTTTAGCAACATGTACAATACCAGCAAGATTTCACTTGGACAACAATAGAAGGAATAAACTCAGTATCCTTAATTTATAGAACATTATAATTAGAGAAAGAGATAAGAGACATTGCCATTACTGAATATTCAAAATTAGAGGAGGAAAAGGTCCATGTAGTTTTGAAAACAGTCAAGGAAGACGAGATTAAAGTCTTGGGCAGTAAGAAGAAAACAAAATGATTAAACACCTCTAGATAAACCTTTTAAGTAGAAAAGTACAAGGAAAGATCTCAGTCTTGGCGGCATGTTTCTATTAAGATTATATCTAGGCTACAAAAATTATATAGAAGCAATTACTAAGCTTTCAGTATCTCATTGCTGTCTCCTAGTGGTGATGTGGATTTTTTCAATCCATTTACAGAATGGTAGCCCTATCTTTAAGTTAAAGATCAAAGAAGTTACAGAAAACTGCACAGCTAAGGTAGGAATACAGTGAAAGATGAAGGAAGATGAAAATATCATATTGAAGTATTTACAAATAGGATTTTAAAATGACAGAAATAATTGCAGAATATGTTCAGAAATCACTTTTACTAAAAAGTGAGGTTCAACAGGCAATAGATGGGATGTCAAATAGGGAAATTCCAGGTACAGATGAAATACTCTTTGAAGTATTTAAAACTGTGAAAGAAGAGAAATTAAAGGGGTAACAGCTCATTGTCAAAAATATATGGAACAAAATATGGAAAATATGGGTTGCTATCACCTGGAGACTGGAAAAGGTCAGCATATAGATCTGCCCTGAAGTTGGGAAATGTAAGAGCAATGCCAAAGGAACAAATAGATTTCAGAGATGAGAGAGAGATGCCAGACAGCTAAAATAAGATAAGTAATTTAGAAAGCAAGGGCATTTGAGAAATATTACATCTGTTTTATTGAGGGCAATACAAGTCCTTGACTGCATAACTCAGATTCAAATGTGGAATATATTAAGGCTATCAGAGATGTCAAAATACCTAATTTTCATCTAAGGAACATTTACAATGAGTGAACAGCTCAGAGAAAGCCTGGAGTTTAGAGACAAAAAGAATGGTTCAGAATAGGAAAGAGAATGTGACAAGAATGCATATTGTTCTCTCCCCTTTTAACTTATACATGGAATGTATCACAAAAATAACTAAATTGGAAAAAATGACAGCTGAAATTAAAATGAGAAACCAAAACACTAAGAATTTATGCAGTCTGTTCATTAAAAGTAAAGAACATTTATTATGAAAATTTAAAAAGTAAGTAAAAAATCTGGAATAGTTTAAGGAGGAAACACAAGGTCAACAAATATTAGGAACTAATGGTGAAGGAGTGAAGATGAGAGATCATTTTCTAGGGCTTAAAAAAGATCATAATGGCACTCTTCTGGAGAAGACCTATGTTATGGTGCAGTGACAAAGCCAGGTAACATCACGAGAAATGGATATTTTAATGTGTATTCTTGGGTAACAAAAGCTGTGATCTTATAGACTATAATATGTTGTTAGGACACTAAACTGTTACAATTCTATATATAATTATTTAATGCAAACATTATGCATGTGTATATATAAACATATATACATTATACATATATATAATTGCAGTACTCTTTAAGAATCAATTAACTTAAAAGGCAACAATAACATTTGGATATTAAATGAAGCTTTAAACCAAAAACTAAGGATTTGTCTAAAACAAGCTTATGATTTTTATTGTCGAAACAAAATGTAAATGTAATTTAGTTTAAACCCAACATTGCATAATCTGTATTGAAAGAAATTAAAACATAAAACACCACAGATTGAGTAGACTGCTGGTTTTTTAAACAAGGATGAAGCATATGTTCTTTAAAAGGCCGTTTTCTTTCCATGATTTAAAGCATTAATAAAGCATAAAAAAATTTCATTTCCCCAAAAAAGTTCACTTGAATGTGTCTTTGCTTTTTACCAGAAATGATTTTATATTCATAAAATTAGACTGGAAAAGAGACTACTCCTAGAAATATATTTGTCTTTATCTTTTCTGTTTTTCCTCTAGTACAGTGTTTCTCAATCTTAGCCATTTTAAAATGTGTGGATTTAAACTCCCTTGCTAGCAGGGGAATTCTGGGAGCGGAAATCCACACATATTAAAGTTGTCAAGATTGAAACACAATAATACCTCAAATAAAATCTGCTTTGAACAAAACATGGTGAGTATTCATAAAAGTGGTCTGCACAAAAAAGATAGTAAACATTTGGATATGAGATAGGTCAGTGGTGGCGAATCTATGGCACGGGTGCCAGAGGCAGCACTCAGAGCCCTCTCTGTGGGCACGTGCACCATCGCCCCAGTCCTAAGCCTTCAGCTGGGTTTTATAAAACCTTTTCGCTTTAGGCCTCCGCCGTGTGCAAAAAAAAAAAAAAAAAGTCTCAATCAATCAATCAATTTCAACTTCTCGTGGGAAAAAAAAGATCTTGCAAAGTTGGAATTGATTGATTGAATTTTTTAGTCCTGTTCAGTCTGCCATTATCACTGCAGCCACGCCCAGCCAATGGGCCACACCCAGCCAATGGGCCACACCCACCCGACACCCTACGATGTATAAGTGGTTTTGGGTTGCAGTTTGGCACAGTTTGGCACTCAGTCTCTAAAAGGTTCGCCATCATTAAAATAGGTGGTACAAAATGGGATTAGAGTTGAAGTTAGGGTAAGGATTAGAATTAGGTTAGAGTTAGAGGTGAGGATTAGGAATAAAGTAAGGCTTAAGATTAGGTGTAGGCTTAGGCTGAGATTTAGGCTTAGGTTTAGGCTTAGAGTTAGAGTTGGTGTTGGGATTGGAGTTAGAGTTAGAATTAGAGATGAGGATTAGGATTTAAGTAAGGATAAGGGTTAGGGTTAAGATTAGGGTTAGGGTTAGATCTCCTTGGAGTTATAGCGAAAAACTGATCTCAAGGGTAGATTCTAGGTCTCCATGGAGTTAGGACTGAAATTTGATGTTAGGGATATTTCCTTAGAGGTTCTCTAAGGAAAGTGAAAGTGACACTAGTTCATTAGGACCTCTTTGTGATCCACAGTAAAACCCATGGGAAAATCCCTTTGCAAATGAAAATGAAACTAGAGCTATA